ATGACGCATGTCACAATGACGCATGCCACAATGACGCATGCCACCACAATGACGCATGCCACAATGACGCATGCCACAATGACGCATGGCACAATGACGCATGCCACAATGACGCATGCCACAATGACGCATGCCACAATGACGCATGTCACAATGACGCATGCCACAATGACGCATGCCACAATGACGCATGGCACAATGACGCATGCCACAATGACGCATGCCACAATGACGCATGTCACAATGACGCATGCCACAATGACGCATGCCACAATGACGCATGTCACAATGACGCATGTCACAATGACGCATGCCACAATGACGCATGCCACAATGACGCATGCGACAATGACGCATGTCACAATGACGCATGCCACAATGACGCATGCCACAATGACGCATGCCACAATGACGCATGCCACAATGACGCATGCCACAACGACGCATGTCACAATGACGCATGCCACAATGACGCATGCCACAATGACGCATGTCACAATGACGCATGCCACAATGACGCATGTCACAATGACGCATGTCACAATGACGCATGCCACAATGACGCATGCCACAATGACGCATGTCACAATGACGCATGCCACAATGACGCATGCCACAATGACGCATGCCACAACGACGCATGTCACAATGACGCATGTCACAATGACGCATGCCACAATGACGCATGCCACAATGACGCATGCCACAATGACGCATGCCACAATGACGCATGCCACAATGACGCATGCCACAATGACGCATGTCACAATGACGCATGTCACAATGACGCATGCCACAATGACGCATGCCACAATGACGCATGCCACAACGACGCATGCCACAATGACACATGTCACAATGACGCATGCCACAATGACGCATGCCACAATGACGCATGCCACAACGACGCATGTCACAATGACGCATGTCACAATGACGCATGCCACAATGACGCATGCCACAATGACGCATGCCACAATGACGCATGTCACAATGACGCATGTCACAATGACGCATGCCACAATGACGCATGCCACAATGACGCATGCCACAACGACGCATGCCACAATGACGCATGTCACAATGACGCATGCCACAATGACGCATGCCACAATGACGCATGCCACAATGACGCATGCCACAATGACGCATGCCACAATGACGCATGCCACAACGACGCATGCCACAATGACACATGTCACAATGACGCATGTCACAATGACGCATGCCACAATGACGCATGCCACCACAATGACGCATGCCACAATGACGCATGCCACAATGACGCATGCCACAATGACGCATGCCACAATGACGCATGCCACAATGACGCATGCCACAATGACGCATGCCACAATGACGCATGCCACAATGACGCATGTGAGATGGCACGCGGATGCAGCACATTCAAACACACGCCCTCTCAGCGTGTGCCCCTCTCAGCACGCGGCCCCACAATACCGCGCGTCGCCCATGGCCTCACCGCGGCGCTGCCCCTCTCACCCGCCATGATGCGGCGTTGCAGCTCCAGCAGCAGCGGCAGCTGGTCGGCGCCCACCACCAGGTGCTGCACCAGCACCTCGCGATCCCACTCCTCCTCCGCCTCCCGCGCGCCCCGCCCCCCGCCTCCCGCCGACGCGCTCGACGCCACGCTCCGCCGCCCCGCGGTGTCGGAGAACCAAGGGACGGCGGAGGGAGCAGCGACGGACGGGCGGGATGCAATGCGCGGCGTGGCCGCGGGGCCACGCGGGGAGGCGGAGAGCGGAGCGAGAGGCGCAAGGAGATGGCGGGAGCGCGGCACGGCGAGGTGCGAGGAGGAGCAGCAGGGACGGGCGGTGAGGCGAGCTGCGGGGAGGACGGCGAGCTTGCGCGCGAGCGACGCCATTGGCGGAAGTGCGAGGGGAGGAAGGCGCCTTGGCTTGCTCTTGAACAAAAGGTGATGCACTCTGGCCGGAGGCTTTGGTTTCTCTGTGTGACAGAGTTTTTTTAAATAGTATTTGCTAAAAAGGTTTAGTACACTTCAGGAATGATTTGATATAGAACTTTCTCCACCTTATAACCTGCGCGTATCCAGCAGGCTGATCTTCACTATAACAACCATATTGAACCATCACCATCCTAAGCCGATTTGGTAACAAGCATTGAAATTTCTCTTTGTGATGGGCTCGTTTGGTACGTTGACAAATATGAGGGAAAGTGAAACACAAGCTACGCTGTTGTTTGAACAGATTGATACGTCTAGTCGCGTACGGTCATTTGGACAAGGACGACAGCGGGCGAGGACGGTGACCCGCGTTGACGCGAGGCAGACGAGCCACGGCAAGGTTGACGGCTTCTGTGGGACCAACCCTCATCTCCGCGTGTCCTGCGCTCAACGCCCCCCGTCGCCCATCGCATCCACCTGCGCAACGCCGCGCCCACCACCGTTTCCCTCCGCGCCACCACTCCGCCGCGGCAGCGGGCGATCGGCGGGAGGCGCAGCAGCCTGGAGGGCGGCGCGGGAGGCACCATCAGCGGTCCCCTCGCGGCTTCGGGTGCGTCACCCATCGCCGCCGCTCCTCGCACATTCTTGCCGCCACGCACCCCGTGATTGAAGAGACGCCTCAAAACACTTCTTGCCGCCACGCACCCCCTCTCTTGCTCCCGTGCATCCCCTCTCACCCGCGCTCCTCGCGGCCTGCCTTCCACTCCACTCCCATTCTCACCACCCTCTATCGTTCTCCACCGATCTCCCCTCCCGCTCCTGCGGGGGAGGGGCGTGTGCCTACTGCACTCCCTTTCCTTGACACTTAACTCTGCCAACGCCACTCCCCCCTCCTCTCCCACCTCCCTTTACGCCTCCCCGCCAGGCGGCATGGACGGCGGGACGTACGGCGGGCTGGACGCGGCGGACCTCGAGTTGGCGCCCGCCGTCACCACCGTCGCCTTCTCGCCCGCGCCGCTGCCGCCGCTGCGCGTGCCCGTGCGCGCCGGCCCCGCCGACAGCCCCGAGCGCGGCGCGTGGGTGCTGGCGTTCCAAGACGAGCCCAGCTGGCGCAGCGCGTGGGGGGCGTGCGAGCGCAAGATAGCCGAGCAGTGCGAGGTGAGCGTGGGAGCGGGCTAATGCTAAATGCATTCTTCGTCGTGAGACACAAGTTGTTAGTAAGGCTCTCACTCATCTCCCATTCTCCCTGCCCCCTCCTCTTCCTTCCTCCTTTCTCCCCCTCCACCCTCAACCCCCCTTTCTCAAAGCTTCCCTTCCCCCTCCCCCACGTCCACGTTAATTAATCTCTCTCCTCCCACCCCCTATTTCTCCCCCTCCTCCCCTACCCTTCCTCCCCCTTTCCCCCCTCCAGGTGGGGGCGCGCATGGGGTGTTCAGTGCGCGCCAGCGAGCGTTGCCAGGCAGCGCTGCCGTGGGTGCTGAGGGGCGCGGGGGGCGGCTTCCTGGGGGTGATGGAGCTGCTGGGGATGGGGGGAGGGGCGGGCAGGGGCGGCGAGGAGGAGGAGAAGCAGCGCGAGGCGTGTGAGGAGAGGGAGATGATGGCGTGCCTCGCCACTGCACAGGTGCCTCGCCAGCCCATGCCGTGTAATGGATGGATGCGCTGTGTTGCACCGCCTGCATGTCTTGCTCTCTTACACCATCCCGCAGCAGCCCCCTCCGCTCTGCTCCCCATGCCTTGCCTCCGTCATCATGCATGTTCCTTCTGTGCACCCCCGACCCCTCTGCACTTCCATTTCCCCCCCTTCCTTGCACGGATTGCCCTGTACTTTCTCAACCCCGTGTGCCCCCCTGCATGAGTACAGACCGCCTGTCAGGAGCACGCACAGCAGCAGTGCAGTGCGGCCTTCTCCCAGGCGCTGCTCGCGCGCTCCCTCTCCGCCATCCCACTGCCGCTGCTCGACCGCCGTGCCCAGCGCGCCCTGCTGCGCTCCGCCCTGCACCGCCGCCACGCCGCTGCTGCTGCTTCGGGCCGCAAGGGCAGCGCAGAGGCGGTGGGGGGGGCGAGGGCGGGTGTGGGGGGCGTGGAGGGTGAGAGGAGCCCGGGGGCGAAGCTGGCCCAGCAGGCCTTGGCTACCGGGCTGGAAGGCGCGGGAAGGGGGGCGGGCGAGGGGGGCGATGGGGAGTGGGGGGGGGGCGAGGAGCTGTCAAACGTGGTGAGCGCCAAGGGGCTGCCTCGCGAGGGGGGAGGTGCCGCTGTGGCGTGGCGGAGCGGTGTGTCGTACTTGGAGTCGCCGAGGGGTGGTGCGGGGGAGGCGGGGGGGATGGGGAGCGGTGGAGAGGGGTGGGAAGGCGGACTGGTGAAGCCGAGGGCTGGGAGGAGAAAGGAGGTGTGGATTGGGGCGGTGAAAGGGGGAGGGGATGGCAGAGAGGGTGGGGAGAAGAGTGTCGGCAGTGCTGGTGGCAGCAGTAGGCAGATGGCAGCAGGTGGGGCAGAGGGTGGCAGCAGCAATGGGGGTGTGCTGGGTGGTTCAACTGCCCATGGCAGGGTCACACATCCAGAAGGAGAAGGGGGGGTGAGCGGTTTACTGGGTGGCTGGGAGCGTGCAGCAAGGGCTGTGAAGAGCAGAGTTGAGATGGCGGCACGAGGTGCAGGTGCAAGCAGGTGACACTGGACTGATTCAATTTGGCCTTAGCTTCCTGGAATAGTACACTGGATAGAATGCAGTATTGTCTTTGATGTGCGATGCCCAAGGGCTTTCATGGAAGTATGAGGTGCTGCTGTGTATCACGGCGAGCTGTGGGTTGATCGTATAGTTGTTTTTACCATGACTAGTCTGAGATCTCAGACGTTCCTACTATCCTAGCCACCAAGCTTGAACATTCGAAATCACCCCCACAGACTGATTCGCTCTCCGAGTGATGAGCTGAGGTGACTTGCGAGCGCTACTGTATAAGGAGGCCACATGGATTCCTGAAAAAGGCTTTGGTGTTTCATATGGCAAAGAAGTTAACACTTTCTGTTACTTATTTATTCATTCAAGGAGGATGGCAACTGCTCGCGCGAATGCTCGGATGATTTAGTTCATGGGCCCCTGTGGTTGACCCGGGGTTGGTTCAAACTTGTCGCGCAGCTCAGGCGGCGGGTCGAAGTGGATGGCGTTGAACGGCTCCTCCATGTCCGCTTGATACGTGCTCTTCACCTTGAAATACGTCGCCTGCATGGATGGTGTGGGACAGTGGGACACACATGGTGAAAGGAGGAGGAGGCATGGGGGGTCCAAAGGTGGGTGATGGCAAGGACAGCAGAGAGCACGATGACACACAACAGTGCTTTACCGTGGCACCTTCGGTGGAAGCAACATGAAATCAACTGGGAAGCAACCTGGAAGCAGCAAAGCAGTGGGCATGAGAGGGCACGCGGGGGACTACGAGGGCACTCACAGCATCACTGTAGAGCTGCAGCAGCTGGTCTCGTGACTTTGTGGGGTGGATCTTCTTGCCAAAGTCAAATGCATCTCCTGGCTGGCGGCCCAGGCGCATCATGACGGCCTTGACGTCCTCCTCCATGCGCTCAAAGCGCCCCACCAGGTCGTACCTTATGCGGTCCAGCCCACACAGCAGCGACTGGGGGGAGAGGAGGGGGGGGGGGAGGGGGTTGGATAGCAAGGGAGACAGGGCAGCGGGGAGAGGACGGGTGCAGCAGAGCAGAGTGAGCGAAAATGCATGGTTTCGAGATTGTTCAAGGAAAGTGCATTGCATCCTCTTGCATCCTCTTGCATCCTCTTGCATGCTTACAGCGGCCATGAATGCAATTTATCTGAGCAACGTGCAGAGAGGAAGGTGTGGGACGGCCACATCAGGGGAATTTGGCGAGAAGTTGGCGTGTGGATGCATAAAGGGACGGGTCACATAAGTGGGGTCACATTAGAGGGGGGGTGGTCACATGAGGCACTTTCAAAGCATCCAGGAAACCATGCTGGCCTCTACACGGCCCGTGCAGATGTTACAATCCGTGCTGAGAGTGGTAGAGACAAGTCAGCGGGAGCGAACAGAGGTGCATGCAGAGGAAAGAAGAAAGATGCTAAAGAGGACTTTGACGAAATCGTGGGTCCATGTACAGGAGCGACCAACAGCTGCTACATGAATTCATGTCGCCAGGTGGTTGTGCCGTGCTTGCACTGCACCTGCAGCGCCCGGTGGTTGTGCCGTGCTTGCACTGCACCTGCAGCGCCCGGTGGTTGTCCATGCCAGCCACACACCACCAGGTGCTTGTGTCGTGCGTGCATCGCACCTTGTACTGTGCTGTCTATCCCACCTGAGGAGCAAGATGGTTATCCATGTTCTTGCGGCGGTCAAAGCGCATGCCGTACTCCACCAGGCGCACGAACTCAGGGAACGTGAAGTTGCCGCCCGTGCGGTTGTTCATCTGCCTGAAGTATGCCAGATGCCCAAAGAAGTTCTGCAAAAGGGGAGGGGTGAAGGAGGGTTGATGGGGAGTGGGAGCGGGGAATGGGAAGGGGAGGGAGCACAGCGGATGGGGATGAATGGGGAGAGAGTGGGGAAGGTGAAGTTACCGCCCATGTGGGTTGCTCATCTGGCGGAAGTATGCCAAGTGCCCAAAGAAGCTCTGCGCGGGGAGGGGTGGGTTGAGGGTGGGGATTGTGGGGGGACGCAGTGGATGGGGATGCAAAGGGAGAGAGAAAGGAAGAGGAGGGCCTAAGGGGTGTGGATGAATTAGAGGCAGGGGGTGCAAGGCACACAGCGCGCCATCAGTCGCTGAACCACACAGCGCGCCATCAGTCGCTGAACCACACACCCGAAATCCGAAATCCTGCCCACAGTAAACAACAAGAGCGCCATTACATGGACAGTGGCTCTCTGCCCCACCTATCAGTGATCAGTGCCTCAAGTCTGGGATTGTGTCTACAATCTCCCTCGCCCAACCTCTGACTACCCCCCACCCTCCACTCAGCATCCCTCACACACTCTCCACTGCCTTTGCCTCCCCCCCATCGCCCAACCACCACAACCCAACCACCACCACCAACTCACCAGGTTCCAGAACTTGCGGCCCCATCCATCAGGTCCGCCGCCCGCGACGTGCTTGTTGAGGTAGGCGGAGACGATGCGCTCAAAGGGCTGACGCACGAACACAAAGCGCAGCAGGTCGGGGCGCGTCACGGCGCGGATGGCCGCCGGCTCCGTGAGCGCGTACCACAGCTCCGTGATGTTGGAGGCGAAGGGGCGGTGCGTGGAGAGAAGGTCGTTGCTGTGGCTGTCGTGGTGCTGCTGCCGCAGCCACACCTTCCAGCTCGTGCACGCTACCTTGGGCACCCAGCAGTACAACAGCCCGATGCCCTCTGGTGGGGGGCCATGTGACAGGGGCGCAGTGGGAGAGGGGAGGGGTGTGAGGAACGGAGTGGGTGGTGGTTAGAGGCAACGAGGAGAGGGCAAGGCGAGGTGGTCAGACCTTCCAGCTGGTGCAGGCCACCTCGGGCAGCAGCAGTACAGCAGCACGCTGGTGCCCTCTGGTGGGGCCATGGGACGAGCGCGCAGTAGGAGGGGTGTGAGGAGAGGCACAAGGGAAAGACTGGAGAAGGGAGAAAACGTCAGGTGAGATGGTAAGGACGAGGAGATCCGTGTGTGTCAGGTTTCTCATGCCTATTTCAGATACCGTCTGGTAGCAAACACACAGCACAAGCAGGATTCACTGCCACCACCCACCCACGCAGCCCTCACCATCCACGATCAGCTGGTGGCCTATCCGGTGCTTCGTGATGGGCTTCGTCGACGGTGCCTGGCAAATCGACTCCTCTCTCACAAACCCCACCTCCTCGCCGCGCTCCACGCCCTCCGCCATCGCCCCCACCCACCCCACGCCGCCCCGCTCGCCCCTCCCCACCGCACCACTTGCAGCCTGCGAAGCCTCCTGGGTGCGGCGGGCCATGGCCTGCGCGTGCAGGAAGTCGGCCTGGGGGGAGTGCTGCAGGTGGATGAGGCGTGGCGCGTGGGAGAGCGCGAAGAGCTCCGCCGCCTCCAGCTGGGAGCACCGGATCGACCTCTGCTTCGCGTCCAGCCTCTCCCACTCCCTCTGCACCAATTCTCGCTCCCTCGATTCCCTCTCAGCCGATTCTCTCTCCGCCAGCTCCATCTGTTTCCGAAGCTGCTCCCGTGTCTCGCCTTGCTGTTGCTGCTGCTCCTGCTTTGCCTTCCTTCTTCCCCCTTCTTGCTGCCGCTCGCCTGCATGCGACTCATTCACCTCCCCCAACTCGTCACCATCCTCCCCCGCCTCAGACTGAAGCAACCGCCGCAATCTCACCAAACTGAAAACATTCTGTTTGCCCTCCCCCTCCCCTTCCCCTTCCCCCTCCCCCTCGCCCTCCTTCTCCCCCTCCTCCTCCCCCTCCAGCACCGTCTTCCAGTTGCGCCCCATGAGCTCCTTCAGCATTGCTCTGATCTGCCGCCGCTGCGCGCCCTCCGTCTTCCCCAGCTGCCGCGCCCCCATGCCTGGCCCGTACATCTTCTGTAGAAACTCCAGCACTCGCTCCCTGCGCGCATCGCCCCTCCCGTCCATCCCCCCGGCCTCTCCCGGTCCCTCCGGCCCGTCCACACCTGCAATCAAGCTCGCACTCCCTCCCTCCCCTCCTCCCGCTCCTTCCTCTCCTGCTCCTGCCCCGCTCCCCTCCTCCCCTCCCCCCTCGCCCGTGCCTCTCGCACTCCTCTTCTCCTCCTCCAGCTGTGCCGTCACCGCCTTATCCAGCCACTCCTTCCGCTCCTTCCTGCTCGCCACGCTCTTCGCCACGTCAGCGGCAGCAGCATCGGCGCGACTCACGTTCCTGGCCATGTCGTCGCGGTGCCGCTTCTCCGCTATCTGCTTCGGCGTCCACGGGTGCGGCACGATGGCCGGCGCCGCCATCTCTCCCCGCTGCGGGTTCGGCCGGCACTGTTCAGAGCGGTGCAGAGTGGTGCGGAGGAGGTGTGGCTGGCGGGCGGGGTGGAAGGTGTGGGCGACGGCGAGGGCGTGCGAGGGCCAGAAGGCGGCGAGCGTGGTGGCGGTGGCGGGGTGCGCGAGGAAGAGCCACATGAGGCGCCGCGCCGTGCAGTTCACCACCTGCTTCACATCGCACCCCGTGCACCCTGATAGCACCGGCTGTGATGGGTGCAGGGAAGAGGGCTCAAGGGCAGAGCCTGACTGAAGGCGAGTGTACGGGAAGACAGGAGCATGGGGACGCAAGTAGGAGGTTGCATCGTAGCAGCTACCTAAGAGCGTGATCACAGAGCGTGAGGGCAGTATGCAGAGGGCGGGAGTGTGGCGAGGGCAGAACTGTGGGGAAGTGTGGCGAGGTCAGCAGTGTGGGTTTCTGACAGCATACCTCCATGTACACGGCGGTGCTGTGCTGCACGTGGGTGAGGTTCTCCCGATCAACCATGTGCTGCACAACGGGCGACGGGTGCAGCATGCCGTAGCACTCCACCATGGACGCCTGCAGCTCCATCGCCTCCTCTGAGCCCGGCGCCTGGCAGGGGAAGAGAGGGGGGACAGTGAGGCAGAGAGAGCGGTGAGGAAGGGAGAGCATGCAGCGTGCAGAGGTGGTGGTGAGGCAGAGAGAGCAGTGAGGAAGGGAGAGCATGCAGCGTGCAGAGGTGGTGGTGAGGCAGAGAGAGCAGTGAGGAAGGGAGAGCATGCAGCGTGCAGAGGTGGTGGTGAGGCAGAGAGAGCAGTGAGGAAGGGAGAGCATGCAGCGTGCAGAGGTGGTGGTGAGGCAGAGACGATCAGAGACAGCGGGCGGGCGGGGTAGAGAAACATCAAGCACAAACGGGTGGCACCCGTTGGCCCTCCTCATGGCTTGATGCCTGCACTGCTGCACTGGACCAGCATTGCCACATGCCATGTGTGCTCTCACCATTCCCATGCTCTCACCACCTCCATGCTCTCACCACCTCCATGCTCTCACCACCTCCATGCTCTCACCACCTCCATGCTCTCACCACCTCCATGCTCTCACCACCCCCATGCTCTCACCACCTCCATGCTCTCACCACCCCCATGCCCTCACCACTGCTTGCGCTGCAGCAGTGGCCCACAGGTGCCACATGCCGTGTGTGCACTCACCACCTCCATGCTCGTAGCCGCACTGCGCAGGGACGAGAGCAGGTGAAGGCTCACAGACACCGTGTTGCCGCCGCCACCACCGCTGCTACCGCCGCTGCTGCTACCCGTGCTTCCTGTGTTACCCCCTGCCACTTCTGCCAGTCGCCTTCGTCGTCCCGTGCTCTGCCCTTCAGTGCTTTCCCCACCACTGCTCTGCGTGCCAGGCTCATCCTCGGAAGGGGAGGACCCATGAGGAGAAAAGAGCAGACGGGCAGACGCCAAGCGGCCGCTGCTGAGGTGCTGGGAGGAGCGCGCCCTGCCAGTACCAGTGCCAGTGCCCACCCTGTTGGCGCCGGTGCCCAGCAGGCGGCGGCGAGTGGTGTGAGGTTGGGTGGGGAAGGGGACGGGCGGCTGCTCCACCAGCCATGGTGCCTGCTGTGCGTGGTGCGGGTTGTGCTGTGGCTGGGGCTGGCCTGGCTGTGGTTGCGGCTGCGGCTGTGGCTGCTGCTGTGGTTGCTGAGGTGGCTGCTGACGTGGCGGTGACTGTGACGGAGCTGGCACGATGTCCAGGTCGAGCCTCTGACGTGGCACAGGTGGGGTGATGGGGTGGGGAGAGGGATGGGAGGTAGGGTGATGAGGAGAAGGGGGACCAAAGGACAAAGGGCTATTGGGATGGCAAAGGCAATGTGAGGACTGAGGTGCCTGGGTGGGAGGACTGAGGTGCCTGGGAGGACTGAGGTGCCTGGGAGGACTGAGGTGCCTGGGAGGACTGAGGTGCCTGGGAGGACTGAGGTGCCTGGGAGGACCACCAGTGCTGAGCAATCTAACCATGTCCACGCAGCAAAGCGGAGAAGCAGGCAGTAGCGAGGTGCTGCAACACACCTGCTCATGGCCCCTCCCCTTCCCTGTTGATGCTTGTCATACATCAATTGCCGCCGCCCGCCTACTGCCTACCCCACGCCACTCTACAGCAAGCGGGGCTCAACTCACCCCTTCAGCGTAGAGTGGCGAGTGCAGCCAGAGCGGCCTCTCATGCAGCACTGCCACCGTCGCTGCACCCGCAGCGCGTGGGTCGTTATGAGACCCGTTGTGCGGTGTGTCGTGGTCGTCAGGCAGGGAGGGCGAGAGCGGCAGGGGCTGGAAGAGGTGGTGGAAGTGGGCGTCCCACACACCGCTGTCCGGCTGCCACAGCACCGCCAGCCTCAGCTGCCTCACTCCCTCCTCTCCCACCCCTGGCCCCTCCACTCCCCCGCTGCTGCTGCTGCTGTCCCCACTGCTGCCAGCAGCGGCAGCAGCATCCATACCAGCAGCGCCAGTAGCGCCAGTAGCAGCAGCGTGGGGGCCGTGGGGGTGGGGGACACCAACGGCGTCAACGACGGGCGGGGAGAGCTTCATGGCGAGCAGCTGCGTGATGGCGTAGCCCGCACACACCGCCTCCATGCGCGCATGCAGTGGGCCCTGGGGAAGAAGAGGGGGGGAAGGGGGAGGGGGAGAGGGCAGAGGCACAAGGGGAGCAGCTGCGTGATGGCATACCCCGCACACACTGCCTCCATGCGCGCACACAAGTGTTTGCACTGCATGGGAAGGCAAGGGCACTGCGGTGCAGCGTGCAGTGCAGCGTGCAGTGCCGTGGGATGGCATGCGCGCACACGCTACTGCACGCCACCACGCCCACCCCGGCAGTGAGCCTCACCCGCTTGACACCCTCCCCTGGCTCACACGCCCACATCCGCTACTCTGGAAGGGCCCTACCCTGGCAGGTTCTACCCTGAAAGGGTGCTACACCGAAAGCACCTACCTTGGCGCGCACAACAATGTCGGGGTAAGGGCACCCCGCGCCTCCTGACGCACACGCTGCCTCCGCGCCCCCCTCCGCGTCCCATCCGCTTCTCCGCTCCCCCTCCCCCTGCTGCTCCCCCCCTTGCAAACCCCGCCGCTCCTCCCGCGTTTCACCCTCCCCTTTCCCCCCTGTCACTCCCTCGCCACCCGCTCCCCCCTCGCCACGCGCGCGCGCGTCTGACTCGCGCGCGGAAGCATCGCGCGCGGGAGGCAGGTCGTCGAGCGCGGAGGGCCACGCGGCGGCGGCGCTGATGTCGGCGGAGTCGATGTACGGCCCGTGCCGCTCCACCGCCACCGCCAGCGCCTCGCGGTCGACGGAGGTCGCGGCGCGCAAGGCGGAGGGGGAGAGGAATGCGCGGCGCTGGAGAATGAGTGGGAGGACGACGAGCAGCGCGCAGACTAACGCTACGCCGGCTAGGCAGCCGTAGCAGCCGGCATAGTAACCTGACTTGACCGGCCGGTTTGGGGACTCTAACCGTCGGCCGACTGCCTTGACGAAGCGCGCCCAGGCGACATCTAGATTGAGCGCTGCGAGGCACTGGCGATTCCAGCCGGACAACCACGGCGCGCGACTCCGCTGCCGCTGCGGTAGCTGCTGATGGCGACGTGCGTCGGCCCTCGGCGTCGTAAAAGGCGGCATGGCGATTTACTGGAGATTAACGGTATGAATAAAATCAGTAAGTGTTATGTGCATACTTGGACTGAAATGGGTCTTTCCAGTCGACATGTGCGAGGCTACTGCGGACCTTCGATGCTTCCAGAGAAGCCTCAGAATTGGTTGTTGTGGAGCTGAGGAGCAGACGAGTCTACTACGTTGCGACGAGTGCACCCAGAAGAAGAGTCCCAGGTGATCAGCAAGATGGTTTCATGGATCTACCATAAAAATTGGTTGCATTCTGCTGAAAGCAAGCAAGAGCCGATTCTGCTTCCGTTGATGCTTCCCACAGATGGGCCATCGAACTGGACGGGGCGCACTGTGAAGGCGACAGTTGCGAGTGACGGAAACCGTTTCGGAAATTTCACCGGATTGGATGCGATGGGCGTGGGGTTCCTTGCGAAATAGTTTCGCGAGCCGAAACATGGGATGGTGTTACTCCGATACTGCGAAGCACCGCGAAACTCGGGGTTGGTTTGCAAAAAACTACCAGCTTTCAGCGAACATGCCAAGCACCCGTCAATCCATGGTGGTGACTCTCGCTGGTGGAATTGTGATGTTTGGAATGCCAAAAAAACGTTCTTCCCAACCAGGGTTTTGTACCCCGTTTACCCTACAAAACGGGGTATTGTTTTGGCCACCTCGGCTACTCTCGGGGTCGTGTATTCTTGGCCCAGCTGCATCCGAGTTTTAGGGTGCATTCGTATCCCGTGTCAGACATGAGGTCTGACACGAAGTGGATGCTCGGAAGACACAAAGTGCCCCAAAACTAAGGCAAATTTAGGTTCGGAAGACACAAGCTGAGTCACTTTGTGTCTTCCGAACCTCCAACTTCGTGTCTTAGGGTACATTCGTAGCCCGTGTCAGACATGAGGTCTGGATGCTCGGAACACACGAAGTGGCTCAAAATTCAGGCAATTTTTGGTTCGGAAGGCACAAACCGAGTCACTTTGTGTCTTCCGAACCTCCAACTTTGTGTCTGACACGGTATACGAATGGTCTCTAAGGAAGCACGTGGCCTGGTTTTTCCTTAGGACAAAACAGATAACTCATATCAGCAAAAAAAATCATCATGATTGGGGAGGGGCGGGAGGGGGGATTTGGGGGGTTGGGAAGTAGAACACATCTACAGTCTCGAAAAAAGGCTAATTACGGAACTTATCTCTCGGAGCTCAAAGACGTGTCCAAAGAACAACCATGCCAGAAAGTGCTACGTTGCGGAGAGTCAAGTACAAGTTGCTCGTAGTGTTGCATATGCTTGTACGTAACGTTGCGTTTCGTGGAGAAGATCGACAAGAGATTCACTTGGAAAGAGGAATCAACAAGCATACATTGACACGCAATGGCAATATACTACAGAAAGCAATAGCATCGTTGTTATCACCCAGCAGCAAGGCGACTTGCCATCGTACAGAATGGCAGCTTACCAGCGCTGCAGCCGTCCGTGAAGCACTCGCACATGTGCATCACCTACCAAAGCATGTGTAGGTTGCGCAACACAGTTACGTGCACGTTGTACGCGGGATGCACGTTGCGCATGTGATTGTTATAGGGCATATGATGTCGTTCCGCATGTAGGTTCTTGCCAAAACCGTATGGGGCGAAATTCTTGCACATGCAGAATTTTCCTGAAATGTTGGTCGACCAGAAATATGCCACTCAGAAGCGTTAATTTTGTCGGTCGACGCCCTGTCGATAATTGCTTTTGTCGACGGCTTTCGCTGTTGACACATCGAAAGGCCACCAACAATCTCGACTTTATTTCATCGACAAGCGCTTCGTCGCCCTTCGATAATCACAGAACTGACATTTACTCGGCCGTGACTGGCTGCGATGACACAACCCACGGATAGACTGGAACGACGGGTGATTGCAGTGTGCAAGTCAACGGTAACAACATCGCCATGCCTCGCTGGAGTTCGAAGTCTTCGTCGGCTCGAGTCAACGCCATCACGATGAAACACGCCGTAGCGGTAGGAGCTGACGTGTACGCTGTTGACATTCGGGAAGCCGAGGCAGCAGAGCAGCCGAGTGATTTACAGAAACGTACCGGATGATCTGGCGGTCCTCCTGAAGCAGTACCAAGAGGTTTTTCCCAACAATCTGCTAGAGGGTCTGCCACCTCAGCGACCGCATGACCAAAGCATTCAACTGGAACTCGGGGCACAGGCAACAGTACAGAGACTGTTCAGACTGGCCCAGCGGGAACTAGATGAACTTCGGACGCAACTGGTTTATATACCCGAGAAAAAACAAATCATTCGCCCGAGCTCGTCACCGCGCCGATACTATTTACACCGAAAAAATACGAGGGCTTTCGAATGTGCATAAATTATCGCGCACTGACCAGGGGTTACATTCAAATCATGTTACCCCATCCCTCAAGCCAACGAACTGATCGACCAACTTCGCATAGCCCGCATCTTCTCAAAAGTCAACCTCCGAGGGGGATACAATCAAATTCGAGTCAACCGGCTTGACTGTCTGAAAACCGCTGTCCGTACTCGCCACGCATCTAAGTGTGAGTTTCTACATTTCTACATAACAGACATGAATTTCTGGGCCACGTAATGTCGGCCAGCGGCGTGGACCCCGAGAAAGTCGCAACCATTAAGGCCTGGAACCCGACGACCAACCTGATCGAACTGCAAAGTTTTATGGGGTATGTCAAATACGTGCAGCGGTTTGTCCCTGTCAAACTCATATATAGCTTACATTGTGTAGGCTGTAGTGGGGTTGCCCATAAGGAGTACAACTCAATTAGGATTAGTACTTGTACCCAACTCTTTGCTAGTTCATTCATTCTCGTTCGTTACTTTCGACATGGTTTCAGAGCAGGTCCCTCGCTAGGACCGCCTTTCTTTCCTTGGGCCCACCACCTGCTGCCCTGCGAGTGGCCCCTTGGCCCATCGCGCCCCTTACGCCCGTCGCGCCCCGTTTGGCCCGTTGCGCCCCTTACGCCCGTCGCGCCCCGTTAGGCCCGTCACGCCCCTTAGGCCCCGGCCCCTTGGCCCGTCACGCCCCGTTAGGCCCGTCGCACCCCCTCGGCCCCGGCCCCTTGGCCCGTCGCGCCCCTAAGGCCCCGGCCCCTTGGCCCGTCGCGCCCCGTTAGGCCCGTCGCGCCCCCCCTCGGCCCCGGCCCCCCTTGGTCCGTCGCGCCCCTTATGCCCGTCGCGCCCCGTTAGGCCCGTCGGCCCCGGCCCCTTGGCCTGTCGCGCCCCGTTAGGCCCGTCTCGCCCCTTAGGCCCCGGCCCCTTAACCCGTCGCGCCCCTTAGGCCCGTCGCGCCCCTCGGCCCCTTCGCCCCTAGGCCCCGGCCCCTTGGCCCGTCGCGCCCGACGGCCCCGGTTCCTGACTGTCGCGCCCCTAGGCCCGTCGCGCCCCTAGGCTAGTCGCGCCCCACGGCCCCGTTCCTGCCCGTCGCGCCCCTCAGCCCATTGCGCCCCAGGGCCCCGTTCCTTGCCCGTCGCGCCCCTAGGCCTCGGTCCCGGCCCTTCGCGCTTCTAGGCCCGTCACGTCCCGAGGCCCCAGTTCCGGCCCGTCACGTCCCCAGGCCCCTCGACCCGCGCTCCGTGACCCGCGACCCAGGCCCCTCGGCCCCTAGGCACCTCGGCCCGCAGGCCCCTCGACCCTAGCCTCGGCCCCTCGGCCCCCGCTCTTCGTGTTTGGCCCCTCGGCCCCTTCTGCTACTAGTGACGCTTCTCTTGCTGCTACTGCGGCTACTACTTATGCTACTACTACTGCTACTGCTGCTACTGCTGCTACTGCTACTACTGCTGCTCCTACTGCTACTGCTACTCCTACATACTGTGCCACTATGGCCTCACTTCGAGTTCTCGCATTCGATCATGAGGGTAGACCGGTTCAGTTTGACACATGGCTCGATGATCTGCAGCTGTATCTACTGAGCGATATTAAGGACGGTGTTTCCCTGTTTCCCGCTACTGCCCCTCCCACCACAGCTGACAGTGCGACTCGCTCACAGTGGCTTTCTCGCGACGCTGCTACCCGCTTAGCCATTCGCAACCACCTGCCATTAGCCGAATGCGCTCACTTCGGACAGCACAGGACCGCACAGGCACTGTACGACGCTGTAGTCGCTCGCTACTCCTCCCCTGCCACTGCTGCTCTAGGCCGCCTGCTTCTGCCCTACCTGTTCCCCGAGCTATCCGCCTTTGCCACAGTCGAGGACCTGGTTTCCCACCTTTGCGCTAGCGACGCTCGCTACCGCGCTGCTGTCCCTGCTGAGTTCCTTGACAAGAACCAGCCCCCGATGTTCATCACCCTCTACTTCATAGTCACTCGCCTCCCTGACTCTCTTCGCTCTGTCAGGGACCACTTCCTCTCTCTTGACCCCACCTCCCTCACTATTGACCTCCTCGAGAAGCATCTACTCGCAGCTGAGACTAGTGCAGTTGCTGTAGGTGCTGCTCGTGGCACTCCGCGCCCGCCCTTCTTTGAGGGGTGCTCCCCCTCCCCCCTTGCCCCCTCCTACGCCTCTGCTGCTGCTGCAGACGTCTCTGTTGCTGAGGACGTCGGGGCTGCTTCTGCTAGTGCGAAGCGCCGCAGCGGCAAGGGCAAGGGTGGCAAGGGTGGTGGAGGTGGCAGCGGCGGTGGTGGAGGTGGCAGCGGGAGTAGTGGTGGGGGCAGCAGTGGAGGTGGTGGCGGCGGTGGGACTGGTGGAGGGAGTGGGGGCTGTGGTGGCGGCGGTGGAGGCAACGGGACAGAGTGCTGGCGGTGGCGGCAGTGGGACTGGTGGTGGTGGGACTGGAGCTCGGCGTGTTGGTTCTGGAGGTGGCCAGCGTCAGCAGCAGCAGCGTCGGAGCGAGACCCAGTCGCCCCAGCAGCTTCGTGAGTGGTTTTTGCGTGGGGCGTCTGGGGGTAGTTGCCCATATGTCATTCGCACGGGTGACCGTGCTGGTCAGACTTGCGGGCCGCTTCACACTCAGCAACGCTGCTTCTCCCGCCTTAACGACGCTTGGCGTG